ACTGGAGACAGACAGAGTGTGACACACGGTAGGGAAATGAGCGAAGCAGTTAACCATCATGCAAGAATTCAACAATAGACAGGTAGTGTAACATGAGAGTGATTTGGGACTTGCTGTCCTCTTCTTGCTGTCCAAAGTGATAATGGTCTACAAGTCCCAGATGACAAAACTAGTAAAGAGAGATAATGATACACAGAGACACATTAACAGAGAAAGCAAGAGAGAGAGAAAGAGAGAAGGAGTAATAACAACTGTGTCAGAATGTAATACTGCAATGTTAAAACAGCCAGATACAAATGTTTGCTTTTAAACCAACCAGACCACCTACCACTGAACACTCATCCTCTTCATTAAATAAATAGATATAAATAAATAGAACATAAACAGATTTATAAGGATTTTACTTTCAGATCAATTACCTTGGTTGTGTGTGTGTTTGAATGTGTCATACAGCTAAAATGTGTCCAATACTTGAACATGGTCAAGCTCTGTCCCCTTTAATATGCAGATTATCCAACAGGCAGACCACCTACCAGCCTACATTTATTTCCAACAGACAGCCTGTAAATGTAGCAATCGAGAAAATATATCCCCTCATTCTCATGTTATATATCTAAGCCTGTATTTCTGCTGCACGTACTAATATCTCTCCGTGGTCAGGTCAGCCTTGACTCACTGAGTTGACTGGGCCAATTTTCTGCTGTGAATGATGGAAGTTCATTGGTATTAAAACTGTCTGCCCATGAGTAAGTCACTGTGAACCAGCTGAATGCTGACACGGGGAATCGACAATGGGTAATTGCAGGTAATTGGGGATTATTATTTCTTGTTTCATAAATGATATTTATGGCTATTATTTCAACATTGAGGTCAACATGACTTCTGGAGGGTTTGAATATTGGCATTGGGATGTTACTTTTCTTCATTACAAATCTGTTATGCTGTTGAGCTATCTTTCACTAATGTATTGTAAAAACATTTACATCGAGTACATATTGATTGACCATAGCTAATAGCAATCTAAAGACTCATAAACACATAACATAACTTCTTTTTCCTAACAGTATTCCGGTAATAATCAGGTTAGATGGGAATAAGATAACACAGTCATTGGTCTGCAGGTCCTTTTATTAAAAGGAAAGAAAAAAGGAAAGAAATATTAGTTGCTGCAAGTTAATTAGGTAACCTTCTGAGCCTTCTGTTCTCAAAACTATTCAGACAATTACCACAAAACAAATTATTACAAAACGTATTTGGACAGATTTGATCAAATGCGAATATGCAGACCTTATTAATAGCTCATGCTTCCCAGTTACCTGATAACACAAATTCCTAATCTTATCCAATTAGCCATTAAACTATCTCTTGCCACTCTACCTGCAAATAAAACAACTGTAAGCCGTGTTACCAAATAAATACCAACACAGGCAGACAGTTTCTGAACCACTGTTTGGTGTGACAAAGAGTAACTGCTAATGAACAAGACTCTCCTCTGCTGGGCTTTAATATATCATAGTTTCAGGCACCAGCCCTGGCCAACATCTCAACTCTGCTGAACATGCATCATTAATTTGACATTTTCTTTGCCAAAAATCATGGCCCGCTGTTCTCTTCTGCAGCTTTTCCCTCCTTCTCTTTCTCTCTGTGGAGACGTATGGCATCAGTCAAAATGACCTAAGGTGTGGCAAACAGCCAAACTGAATGTGTAGTAAACCTACCTGTCATCTAAATTAATTTTAAGAATGCTGATGAAATCCGTTTAGGCTGGCTGTCTTTGAAGTACATACTGTAAGAGTGGGGGAGATGAAAAATACAAGGCCAAAAACACTGTGTGCAGTAACTCTTATAGAAAGTAAACTTGCCCTTTCTCCGGAGAAATTTGCAGTGATAATGGACGAGATTACCGACAAAATGGGAAAACGGCCATGGAGAAATGCCCAGGCCAGGAGCGTATTAAATCTTTAAGAAACATACCTACAGCGCTTGTTATCTTCAGGTTCCCTTAGGGCAAACAGTTGGCATTAAGAGCTGATTTTGGGAACGATGATCCCAAAGGGCAGATAGAGGGAAGGAAAAAGGCTCCTTGTTCATGTACATAGTTCCTATATTAAGGCTGCATAATATAATATCATTTTGAAGGTATTTATCTAAACTGCAAGCTGTGTTTTCAGCTGAATGTTAGTTTATACGTTTAAGCTCAGCATAATAACCTTGCAACACAAAGTCGAGAGTATAACTGCCTTGTGACTTTATCCAACTAACTTTTTATTACTTACTTATCCAGTGAAATATCTCAATATCTACTTGATGGATTGGCACAAAACTTTGTACAGATATTTATGGTTACCAGATGATGTCTACTACTGACTGTTAATCCCCTGCCTTTTCCTCTAGTGCCTCCATGAAGTTGATGTTTGTGGTTTTGAGTGAAAAATCTCCACCAACACTTGATAACAAAATACATGTACAAATAATGTTCTCAATCTGTATTTAGTGCTAATTAGAAAACGTTAGCATGCTAAACTAAAATGGCGATCGTGGTAAACATTATACCTGCTTAGCATCAACATGTTCACATTAATATTAAGAGCATGGTACCCTGCTGATGTTGATGGCTGTAGATGTTTAGTCTTCGGTGTTTTCTAGTCATTATTTGAGTTTATCTGACGAACTTAGTTTGTGTTCTCTCTCCAGAGACTAAAGAGTCTAAAACTCTCTAAGCAAACATATTGGCACTGGTAAAGCACAGCAGAAAATGGATTTCATTACTTCTTCAGAGACAATGTTGTGCTGCTGCATCATCTTGGCTACTGTTATCCAATTTAATAGAAATCTGATATATAATCTAAGAAGATGAAATTTTAACTGTGGAGAGCAGTGCAAAGCAGGTATGTAGGTGATCCTACCTGTTGTCAACAGTAGTTTTTAGGATATTGATGAACTCCTGGTAGCCAGGGAACTTTGATGTGACAATGGAGAAGATGTGCCAGTCGTATTCCTCCATGATGTTCAGCATCAGCAAAGCCTCCTGCTGGATGGAGGCCCCGAACTGAAAGAATGTTGACTTCACATCCTGATAAAAGAGAACAGGAGAGAGGGATGGAGGGGGGAGGAAAATGGAGGAAATGGAGGATAAAGGGAGGGGAAGAAGAGATTTAGTTGAAGATTTATTTGTATTTTTGTCTCACTTTCCTTATTAGTCGACCAGCTAATTCAAACTGCATCTCAGAAATATCAATCAACAACAGAGCATTTAAACTTTGGCACTATATGAGTACACACACAGACACACAGAGATACACACTCACACACATAGATTGAGAGTAATAAGCTTCTCGGAGAGGAAATATATGGATGAGAGGCTCAGAACAATTCAATTAAGCCCAAATTGGATTGGTGCGGTACAGGCAGGCTGCCGAACTCTGTGGGCCTGGTTCTGTGGAACGAGGGTTACGTTCACTCTAAGTCACACATATCCACTCCATTAAACCTGACTCAGAATCATTTTCCACTTAATTCAGCCAAACTGAGACATGAGCTTGGACAGAGCAGACAAGCAGTATTACAGGTGGACAAATTAACTCATTTATGTTGGAGGCTTCGTTTTAAATGATTCATTATGGTGAGGCCTATGAAAATTAGGTGAAATTATTAAAAATAAATTGTAATAAATAGGGAGGACATCACAAAATGTGAGCTTTACTTTACTTTGTCTTTCGCTGTTTGTTGCATGATTTCTTTGTGTGTGTGTGGATTTCTGTTGCCTTGAAATGTCAAGGAGTTCACACATGGCTTATCTTGACACCACTTGTCTTTGGCACTCTAATTATGATAGACTTGCAGGTTGGTGTGTGTGCATGTCTTCTGCGTGTGTGCGTATGTGCGAAGCTGTAACCTGACAGCTAGGGGGGAAAAAAACGAGGGCTTAGAGACACAGAACAAAAGGTTGGAGTGAGAAATATGAGACAGAATGAAGGGAAATAGATTCTGCCCGGTGTCACTTTGTAAGATCACACCTGCTCTCAAAATGAACAAATGCACACCATGCACTCACACACACTGACACACACAAATGAACAGACTACATACACACTGCCTGCAGCTTGCATCTACAGGAATCTATCCACAGTGTGACTAAACTTAAAAAAAAGACAGAGTTGGTGAGTGTGATGAAGTAGCAACCGTAATGCTAGAAGCTCCTTTGTAATGTATTGCTGTCTAGCAGTAGCCTCAATCCTATAGTACAGCCTGCAAAAGATAAGTTTAAAACACATCTTGGAGAGGCCTTTTGTCTACAGAAAGGTGAAAAAGAACAAATGATAAAACTTGGATACAATTTTCAGTTGTAACTGTGGACTTATTGTGGAACTTAAAAACACACATTTCCTTCTGCATAGTATTTTGAGTCTCACTGAGTTCTAACACACAGTTGTGGAAAGTGCTCTGACCCTGCCCACCTTGGTAAAACACTGTACAGGGAACAGCTTGCAAGCCACTTTGGGTAGACAATTTACGCCGCACAGCACCAGTCACACATCTAATGCTCCACTCTCTGCACGACGCACCCTTTGCACTTTGGTGAATTCTTCCTTGCTCACTGCAAATATCTTTTCAATCCTCATCAGTGCTGCTCCCTTAGCATTTAAATTAGCCCTGCCTCAGGCATCCACCTGTAGGCTCTGATACTAGTCTGCCATGAGTTGTCTGAGCTTAAGTCTGTTTCATTGAGAAATCTGTGGAAATGTCAACTAAAAACTTAAACATGTTTTATGCTAATAGGATACTTTCAGTACATTGATTCAGACAGTATTGACACATGTAATGTCAAGATAAAGATATGCCTTTGTCTGTTTTCTATGAAACATAACTAATTTTTCTTTTTTCTTTCTATAAACCCATAAAACACCATCATAGACCAATACCGAAGAAAAGGCATATTTAAAAAATCCTTTATCTCCATTTCCACAAAAAAGTGGTATCAACAATTTTTAATACACTTTTATTAACTGATAATACAAAACATTCCAATTATATAATTCCAATTAAATTCCAATTTTATTAGATTTTTTTTAAAATATTTTTCTTCTTAGTCATTTACAGAGTAGTACTCTACTGGTCAACTGGTCTGTTACAGCTCTTTTCCCATAGACAGATACACTTCTAAGACACAGAGTAGATCTAACACATCTGAGTGAAGAGGGCATTGGGGAAATGAAAATAGACTGAGTGTAGTGGATTGTATTTGTTACCATATCAGTGCACTGTATGTAATTTCATCTCTGCATGCATGACCTAGCATTTCCTTTTCCACTGTGTTGATAGCCTCTGAATAATGTGGGTATTCACTGTTTGCATTATTTGTGTGAGTGTGGGTGTGTGTCTCTTTCCCCCTATATATGAAGACTCTTGAGTGCTCTTTAGTGGTATTGTATCTGTATGTGAGGTTGGTTTACTCGATACTCAGACTCAAGTGCTCTTCAGAGCGTCTCTGTGTAGCCCTGTGTGTGCGTGTGTGTGTGTTCTAATGGGGTAGAAACTGAAGCAATGCTTGAGCATGGTGGGACAGGAGGGAGGTCATGCTATAAGACGTGTCACTTCTTGTCTTCATCACAGCAACGGCCGGTACTGCCACACTTTGCTGCAATATACAGAGGGGCTGTGGCGACCACGGGGCTCATGAAATACATAGAACAGAATAAGTGGGCAGATGTATATGTAACTATGTAATAGTGTTTTTAAAGTGTGTTCACAAGAACTGACATCTACACCTGCCACCTGTCAACAAAACAGTTGTGTCATACGTTTCCTCCGATTTTATTGATTAAGGTTTTAGAAAAATCTGTATTTGGTTGTGTTTTCTCTATTCTCAGCATTTCTTTGTCCAATTTTTCCTTAATATGCTTGCATTTTGTCTAGGGCTGCCTCTAAAGATTTTCTTAGTCGACGATTAATTTTATTAAATAAAGCCAATAGATGTAGCACGTTTATGATATTAAGATTATTGAAATAGATAGATTTTAACAGCCACCTGGTAAATGCTAACGGGAAGCGGTTATAAAAGTAAAGTTGTGTTAAATAAAATATTGCTGCAGAAAATCATACCGAAGTATGTGGCTATGACAACTAATAGATCCTTTCACTGTGCTCTTTTGCTGGGAGACGCAAGTGGCTTGCAGTAAAATAGGCGATACTTCGACCCTCTAGTGAAGCGTCGCTGCAGAGACGGTTGTCTTAGGCCGTGTGTGACCACTCTAATTTGTTAACATGTGCACCGAAATAAAAATCACACGGGCGGTGGAAACTACCTGTTGAACACTTTTCATCGATTAACGATTAAGTTGACGATTAAATAGACTAAATAGTGTCTATTTTTGCATGTTTTCTTAACTTGCAGTGCATTAAGCTCTCAGGGCCAAATGTCAAAATCACAAAATTTTGAGATGGATGGTTTTCACTGGGAAAGCGACAATATATTTATACCAACAACATTTATGAAAAATGTATTTAAAGCTAACAGTGGCTATGAAGGATCTCAACAGAATTCTGTTTCAATATCATTCTGTCAATGTTTCTTACGTCTGTGTGTATGAATGTGTGTGTTTGTATGAATGTGTCTTTGTCTGCTTGTGTGCCATGGGGATTCAAGCTCCAGGCACCCCAGGGGAGGAAGCCAAAATCTACCATGGAACAAAATGGAAATCTTGCTTTTACCAAAATAATTGCTCTTCTCTGGTCTCAAATGAGACTGGGCACGTGCCTGCGCTCATTTGTGCCGGCCAAATGATGTCTCTTTATTTTCACAGGCTCTCATCATATCAAACCTTAACAGAACCCAAATGGACCAGAGAGATTTGGTTCAGGTTGGGCTGAATATACTCATTTTACAGGTTTCAGTATTCTGTCTCAAAAAGGGGCAGTTTAAGCTGGCCTAACCTATAATTGCGAGACCACAGGTACCTCTTTTGAACAGTTGACTGAAGAATACTCTGAAGGACAACAGTGACAACAAAGAGCTAAAAAAAATCTCACTCCTTTATTTTCCCCTTTATTATATTTGATATTTTTAATTGTACATTTTATTATTGCTCAATACATTACATTTTCACTTTCTTTATTTTTTGTTATGCAGTTGAGAGTGAGAGAGAGAGGCAATGAGACACAAAGGTAGAACACCTATGTAAAATACCAGATGGAACGAAAATAAAACAGCATCCGAAAAGGCGACTGTGATAAAGAATTAGCGGCAAAAACATTTGGGCAAATTAGCCAGAGAGTGGCAGGGAGAAAAAGACATGAAATTAGAGAGACCAAGAGGGAGGAAATGCGGTTGCAGAAAAGAGGAAAGATGGGTAGAGTGATGGAGAAGAGACTGAGTGACTAAGCAGCGTATGATTGTTTCTAATTGGGACAGCTCACAATCCGTGACATCAGAAAACAGCCAATCATATCCTCTCATTTCACCCTTGTCAAGTGTGACATGTCTCTTCTTTTCCACTCACACCTTCAGCTACACATAAAAACACACACGCATGTACACAAACACAGTCTGTCATTCACAGCTCTTTCCCTCTTGCTCTGTCTGTCACATTCACAGTCTTCCACTCTCAAATTTCCCATTCTGTTGAAAACACACAAACAGGCATACACACACAACCACAATGACGCACATACGAAAACGTGCACATGCCCCGTAGGGCAGGACAGTGTGTCTAAGTTGAGATAGAGGGGAGTTATAAATAGTAGTCCTCATATCCTCTGCTGCTGATAGCATCATGCACTGTCTAGTCTGATGACACACACGTGTACAAAAAAAATAAATCTCACACACTCACACACACAAACAGATGAGTGTCTAGTAAACTGAGTTTGTGAGGTACACACTCGCCAAGATAAAGGCCTGATAGTACACAGGCACGCCAAAACCTGCATATATTGTCATATATATCCACGTATCACTTAAATCTGTCACAGATATCTGCCGGGTTTAACGGCTCCACTGTGTCCACTGGCGGAGAAACATACCAAAATGACAAAAATTCCTCGGTGGCCAGTTACTAAATATAAACAGACAGG